TAGATACGTGCACAAGTATATATTTGTTCAGGTATATATGAATATATACATATATGTATATATGTTTCTCATCTAGATATGACTAATACATAAAAGGATTCCTTTCTCGTCTCTGCTTTTCTTTCTCTCTTTTTCTCTCTATTTGACAATTTTATATAATTCCTCTGTATCTCTCTCTAGTATTCTTTCATTTCCGCTTGTCTGTGTGTGTCTCTCTCTCTCTTTCTCAATCTCCTCCTCCTTCTCTCTCTCTCTCCCACTCTCTCTCTCTCTCTCCTTATCTCTTTCTCTTTTTTATGTCAGATTTCTCTCTATCTATCTTTATCTTATTTCTCCCACGTCTTTATTTCCTACGCAAATGCGATAACCTTATGAGTTAGTCTCTTCGTTCTGAATATTTTTTTTTTTTTGCGGGCGGCCATTTTAACCATGTGCTTTGCAGTCAGTCACTCCTTGGCTTTTATTTGTTTATTTGTGAAATAAGATTTTTCTTTTTTAATGTGAGAAAAAAAAAACGGACCAGACGAATTTAAACAAAGAAGGGAAAGAACAGATAACTTTTATCGGCTGTCATCATCACCATCATTAACATCCTTTTTTATCGGCTGTCATCATCATCATCAACATCATCTTCACGATTATCCATAAATCAATATTTTATTAACGTGGAATTTTATAACATCTACAGAACTTTTGCGAACAGTTCGAAGAAGTTAAAAGCGAAAGCGTAGACGCTGAAAAAAAGAAGGAATCTATGTAGAAAAATTTAATACGAAGAAGAAGAAGAAGAAGAAGATGATGATGATGATGATGATGATGATGATGATGATGATGAATGAAAAGTGATGTTTGGGAAAAGAAGCAAAAGGAATATTGCAAGGAAAGAAAGATGAAAAAAGTAAAGAAAAATGAAGAAAAATGAAGAAAAAAGAAGCGTGAAAATCAAAAACAGATGAAAATCACAGAAGAAGAATGAGAAGAAGGAAAAATGAAAGTGGGGAAAGGAAAAAATAGAAATTTTGCAAGAAAAGAAAAACGAACTAAATGAAGGAAAAAGAAGCGGGGAAAACCGAAATAAATGAAAATCAAAGAAGAAGAATGAATGAATGAGAAGAAGAAAACGAAAACAAGTCCTGAGAAAAAAAAATGTTATATGACCAGAAAACGAGACGAAAAAAAGACGTGAAGGCGAAGAAAATGAATGAGAAGCAGATACAATAAATGGCAAAGAAAAAATTATCGCAGGAACGTGAAAAATCAAGATGAAGTCTTATAAGTGAAACCTTTTTTTAAATATACTTTCAGAATATGATCAAGGCCTGTCAGAAAATGATCCAGGTGATCATGGCTCTCCACAACTTCCTTTTCTTTATTATCTATATATTGGCATGCTTTATTGGGAAAGATATAGTAATGGCTCCTCATTGACTTCAACACGGTTAAGAATTCGAAATATGAATGCGGGTATTTGTTGGAAATGTCTGAACTGGTGACAAGAAAGGTATGTCATTATGCTCATTGAATATTTGGAATAGAAATTGAGATAGAATATTACCAGCCTTGCGACATTGCGTCTATCGAAAAAAGGTTGTAGGGTGGGAAATAAGTCACCCCCCCAAAAAAAAAAGGCTGTGTAAATGATTTAGAATGGTCAATGATTGAAAGTTTGTATTTAGGCAGCTCCAGCCAGGATATGACGGCAATACTCCATTTTTAGTCTGAAAGGCAAATCAATATGATGTATTTGGTGGTAAGTTGAAGCAAAATGATTTTAACGCATTTATTTACAAGTTTAGATGTAAATGAATTGATATTTGTTATAGGATATCAACAGATTGTGTATCATCATTGAAAACATGCTGATTTTTTCTTTTAAATTAGTTCACGCCAAGCAAGAGGATAATGCCACTAAGACGCAAGGTCTACTGGGAGTGAAAGTGAATGAAAAAACTTTTAAACAGTTAACAAGTAATAAAACTCTACCCCTGTTCAAAAGACTGAATGTGAACAGGACGATAGGCACACCTATCTACTCGTATGAAGCGAAAAAAAGATAAAGTGTAAATAAAATTTACAGTTTAGGCGGAAACGTTAGAAAGTAGATAGTCGAAGTAGACTTTAGACGGAATTGAAAACTCAACCACAAACAGGAAACATGGGATAAAGCTCTACTCCAATTCAAAAGACCGATATGGTGTATGGATCTGACGATACTGAACATAATCTACTCGAGCTAATAAATATATGAATAGTAAATAAAATTTTTAGGCGGCGACATTGAAAGTATAGTGTTGAAGTAGACATAAGAAGGAGACGGAACTCCTAAAAAGGAAACAAGGGCTAAGGCTCTACTTCAGTTCAAAAGGCCAGGAGGAGTGTGAAACAGGCGCACTAGGTAGTTGTGGAGAGCCATAATCGCCCACGTACTGAAAGAATACGATACATAGTAGCAAATATCTCTTTTATACAAGTGTCATTAATACGACTGACAAGCTAATGTGATTAAAATGTTCATTTAATTTATCGTGTGTTTGTATATTTTTTTCTGGTCAGAAAGTATGTAAAAATTGATGTTTAGTCAATTAAAACTCATTTAAATACACACGGGAACATAGCAAAATTATTCGCAACATACTCGTAGAAAATGCAACTATAATAGCCTCATTGACGTGTTTTAAAAAAGGTTAAAAATATCGGGAGCATTACCAATAAAAAAAAGAAAAAGCCAAAACTCAGTAAGATCAACTATGAACACGGCTACAATGTGCTGACCGTGTTTTGAAAATAAAAAATTAATTCCTTTAACTCTATATACATACATAAAAAAATCAATACATACAGTATAAAATAAAAATTAGCGTTGATAATGGCTAAATGAACAGCGGAAAGTGCTCAGACATAGAATATTCCAGAATTTTTTGCATACTTGATGTCCAAAAAACAAAAAAATATACGAACACAAGAAAAATTAAATAAAAACTTGATCGTAGTACCTTGTCAGCTGTATTAATGAAACTTGTGTAAAAGAGGTATTGCTGCCCTCATATACAATATTATATATATATATATATATATATATATATATATTACAGCAAAAAAATAAAAATTGCCTCAACATGGGATAGTCTATTTCAAGCCGTTCTGTATGCGGCTATCATCAGCCCCTAAGTGTCTGTGTCGAAGCATTATTTTAAATATATATTAAATGTCAGTCCTCCTCTGGTAGGCGCCTTGTTAATGAGAATGGGCTTGTGTTAGCGACTGGTGGGGGGGGGCGTAAAGTATCTTACCCCGGGTGAAGTTGTCTGGGGTTGGAGTTTATTTATGGCTAGAACATTTCGCTGTCTATGATTTAATATTAGTTCCTACTATGTGGCGTTTCTTATATGACGGGAGCTTGTTGGAACACATTTTATAAAAACTCATATTTTTACAATATGGTTATATTTAAAAATCCAGCGCATAAGTAATTTTTCAAAGATATATCTGTCTAATTCTAAAAATTTACCCCAAATGTTCTTCAAGGCTATATTAATAAAGTTAAAGTCTTTAAATTTAATCGGAGCTTTCTTAAGTAGCTATGTTTGCCCGGTCACAATTTTTTGTTTTGCTGCGGTAAAAAGTGATTTTAACAGGAACATGATTTAAGAGGCTAATTGGACTTATTCTGAATCCGACATTTCTAAAACCTCAAACCATATTACAGTGGGCACTTCGCGTTTTAAATAGACGTCTTGTTTTTATCTACTAAGCGGTAAATATTGATTTTAGCAGAGGCGAGTTGAACATATTCTGATTCCGACATTTCTAAAACCTCAAACCATATTACAGTGGGCACTTCGCGTTTTAAATAGACGTCCTATTGAGTGGTAAATATTGATTTTAGCAGAGACTAGTTGAACTTATTGATCTCAGATTTTTATTGGTGTTAACACTTTTTCTAAAATTGTATTGCAGGTAATATTTTTTTTCCTTCAAAAATGTATTTCTGGTAATATTTATCCTTCTAAAATGAATTGCTGGTAATATTTATTTTCTTCTAAAATGTATTGCTCTTAATTTTTTCTAAAAAATTTTTTATTATGGAATTAAAACTTATTTTTGCACTTTCTTAGTGTTTGGACCCAGGTTTGGAGGGTTAACTATTTGCCCATAGCTGTGACCCTAACAGGTGCTATCATCCCGGATCAGGATGGACCTGGAAACACTAGTAATTAAAAGATGGTTCCACGCTCCTCAAAACCTCCTGATCAGAGGCCTTGCTGTTGGACGTAGTTTATCGTCTTATCCAGGACGCGGATGTACTTTATCGTCTTACCCAAGACGTGGATGTAGTTTATCGTCTTACCCAGAACAGTCTGAATCCGAAATTTCTAATACTTCAAAGCATATTAAAGTGAACACTTCGTCTTTTAAATAAACGCCCTATTTTTTTATCTAATGAGCAGTGTGTATTACGTCTATCTTATAGGATGAGTAGTTAGTTTTCCGACCATGAGACATGGATTTGTATCTCACCAAGGTCGTTTTGTCAAAGGTGACGATCGAAGCGTTCAGTACCTTTGGAAAACACATAAAAACCATACCACGGGTTGACAAAAACCTTGTGAGTAAAACTGAGTAGACGAGACCATTTGGGAACCGTCGATTGTTGTTTTAGCACAAAGTCACAAGTCATCGTGACCGAGGGTTTCAGTGTACTGGCCTTGTTCAAGCTGTTGGTCATGCTAGGTAATGCGTACTGTCGCATAAACTGTAGCTAATGTCTGCTCAGTATATTGTTCTTCCTCCGCATGTGGATATGACCTTGAGTTCGAAATGCTGGGGAGGATTGAGTTCGAAGATGACTAATGAGTTCCGTCTTCGCCCTGAAAAATCTGTTGCAGATGTGACATGGGATGCTGGGGACTGAACCATACTGAGAAGCGATGCCCTCTTGATCTTCCCTCTTCTGGCATCGCTGTCCTTTGTCCCTGATTCTATTCTCTTCAAAATCATACCATATCACGCTGAAACACCGATTTCCGTACGATCACCGAAGTTAAGCAACATCGAGCCTAGTCAGTACCTACATGAGTGACCGTTTGGGATTAATAAATGCTCTAAGCCTGGATTGGGGTGTAATGGACAAAGATGGATGAAAATAATTGTTATAGCTAATAGTGCAGTGGGATGGCACGGATTCTCTCCATCCCAGCACGCTGAAGCTCTTCAGTGTTTTGGACTCTGTCCGGCCACTTGACACAGAGAAGGGTCTTGAGGCATATAATGTGGAAGGCATCGAGCTGTTTAGCATGCTGGCTGTAGACTGTCCACGTCTCGCACGCATAGAACAGGCATGGTAGAACTACTACTCCGTATACTTTACGCTTGGTGTTAAGACTCAAAGCTCGTAGCTCATCATAGTTACATTATAAACCGCAGCGTTTGCAACAGAGATTGGCTAGTCACCATATACTGAACAAACGTACCCGGATACCAGCGTTCAGCCATTGTTACTATACATATCAATTTGTGCATTCGAAAAATCTTAGTAAAGAAAATGTGTTCTCCATCGGGGTTCACAATTGGGGAGGAGCTGATTTGATCCCTGCTGGGGAGCACAATTTTTTTTACTAAGCTTTCTCGAAAGCACGAGCCGATAGACGTAATACACACGGTTTAATAAATAAAAATAAGGCGTCTATTTAAAATAGGAAGCGCCCACCTTAATAATGCTTGAAGCAAAAAAAATGTGATTGAACAAAGTCTACTTCAGAAGCAAACATTTATATAAACATTTCGATTGAGAATCGCAAAGTATTTAGTAAGTTTTGGCTTAATATCGAATTATACGCGTAAATTCAGACAGAAAGGTATAAAAGTAAATTTCTTTTATACGTGTTCACCTGATTTGATGGACTTAATTCGACACCGGGAGGAACTTACTGAAAGCTTTAATAGATATCCTTTGTCCTATTCAGTACACACGCATTTTTCTCTCTCTCTCTCTTTCTCTTTCTCAATTCCTCTCTCTCTATCTCTCTCTCTCTCCATGTCTTTCACCCTCTCTCCCTTTCTCTCTTCCATTCCCTCTCAATCCCTCTCCATCTCTCTCCCCTTCTCCTTTCCCTCTTCCTCTCTCTTCCCCAATCTTACCATTTCTCACTCTCTCTCCCCTTCACTCTCCCTCTCTCTCTCCATCTCTCCTCTTACCTCTCTTTTATTTCCCTCTCCCTCTCTGTCTATCCCTCCCTCACTCTCACCCTCTCTTACTCTCTCTCCCTCTCTCTTACCCTTTCTCATTCTTTCTCCCCTTCACCCTCCCATCCCACTCTCACTCTCTATCCTCTTCTCTCTCCCACTCTATCTATCCTTCCCTTACTCTCACACTTTCTTACTCCCTAGCTTAAAGTCCACTAGCAAATCTCTTTATTTTTCCATTTTGCGTCTAGGTTGTCACAATGGAGGATCATATTGAAGAAAAAAAAAATGTCCAAAGTTAGTAATGTTTTTTTGTTTTTTTTATTAGCTTCCTCCTGGAATGCCAGTTAATAAAATCTTTTCTCTATGACTGACAACATTAAACCTTTCTAATAATGACGAGAGAATAAGTACATTTTGAACTTTCGACAATTTCCACTGAAATTTGATCCGCGTATATGCAGCAACATGAAACAACGAAAATGGCATTAAAATTAAACAGGCCTTGTCGCTGGAATTTAATAAAGCTTGTTTATAAACAGCGAAGGTTCAAAAGTAAGTATACAGTAATAAAAAAAGACAAAACGTGCTCACAAAAGGCATTGCACTGATTATACAAGCATATCAATAATAAACATATCAATAATAAACATCCTTAATAAACATGTTAATAATAAACATATCAATGATAAACATGCATAATAAATATAATAATAAATATATCAATAATAAACAAATTAATAATCAACATATCAATAATAAACATGTATAATAAACATAATAATAAGCATATCAATAATAAACATGCATAATAAACATATTAATAATAAATATATTAATAGTAAACATAACAATAATAAACATGCATAATGAACCTAATAATGACCCTAATAATAAACATATTCATAATAAACATCATTAATAAACATATTAATAATAAACATATCAATGATAAACATGCATAATAAAGATATTAATAATAAACATATTAATAATAATAAGACCATAATATACATATAATAAACATATCAATAATAAACATCCATGATAAACATATTAATAAGAATCATATCAATAGTAAACATATCAATAATAAACATATTTGCACCTGTCATTTACAAACTTCTCTTTACCTGCAAAATATTTCTCATTATTATTATTTATTAAAAAATATAATTATAAGTGTATTATAATAAAAAATTATAATAATGTTATTAAAAATTATTTTAATGAATTAAATGACTTTTAAGTCTGTCTATATTTCTGAGATGAGGTATTATGTACATTATTTACATTATTCGGATTATTGTCCTCATCAACACTCAGAAAACAGTCTGCCTGCCTTATGTGAAGGGGTTATCAGAGAAAATACAAAGGATCTGCGGTCCATATAACATCAGGACAACCTTCAAAAGCTTGACGACACTTCGCAGATATCTCTCCCGAGTAAGACCCCCCATAGAGGGGAACATGACTAAAGACTGTGTGTACGCTATCCCATGCAGCTTCAGAAAGGAATATAAAGGGGAGACAGGCCTCCCCCTTCAAGGTAAGGCTTCAAGAACACCAGAAAGCTGTAACACGAGGGGAAGTAGAAAAATTCAGGCGTGGCTGACCACATATGGAGAGAGAAGGGAGATCCCCGCCCTCTGTGGGATCAGGTTGAGATCATAGACAAGGAACACCATTGGAAAATTCGTAAACTTAAGGAATCAGCACATATGCTAGGCCACAAAAATCTCCTGAGCCGACCAAGCATAGAAATGAATACAATATGGGAACCAGTAATAAGGAGTGCCAGAGAAAAGCAATGATAACAACATAGTTGCAATATGAACTCTGGTAAAAACATGCAATGATAACAGCAAAATTGCAATATGTGCTGAAGACATTAGGTTTATAATACCCAGAAATTCATACCCAGATGTCAAAGGACACATGCCACAGTGGATAAAGGCGTTGGTTAGATCCAGTGACAGGACCCAAAGAGTTAAGGCAGTGGAGAACTTTCAGAGGGAAATTAACAGGAGATAACTGATAACTGACATCCATCAAACATGGCACGTGGAATTAGAACAGTCTACCCCAGTGAGCGAAATAAAAGGTTCAGTTCGACATTCCAACCACCTGAAGAAATCCGGGGCGTACAACGGCCGAAACGTTGCAATAAATATGGCGACAAAGATTAGGACAATAGTCCGAATAATGTAAATAATGTGAATTAAGTTTGTTTGGTGTTTGTCAAAATCAGTTATAAATTTATTTGGACACTGGGACTTATACCACTTTATGTTTTCTATTTCTTAATGAGATGAATGTTGGTGTTAATCCTGTTTCTATTCATATGTTCTTTACTTAAAAGTTGACAGACAGCATGAATTAACCAATAATATATGATGTTTAAGAGTAACCTGAGATATAGATTCCTGTAAGTTCTTTTTTCACAGACATGTTTTACTTCATCTTATACGGGCTTCAGATATGGCAGACTGAGTGATTTTGGCAAGACCTGTATATATTTATTTGACATCCACACAAAGAAATGAAATGATAGTTCATTTGAATTTATTATTAATGGTTTCAAAGAATGCCAGGCAGAATGGTCGGCCATCATGCAAATTCACCTCATCAAATCTGGCACTCTTTGGAAAAAAGTTTGAACACCGCTCATCTATTGGATTGGTGGTCTATCTCCTGCTAGTTGTCGCTATTTTTTGTTACATTTTCTAATAAGTTTATTTTCTTATTCGTTTTGTTTTAACCTTGAGAGGAGTCTTCTTTTGTATGTTTACTTGAATCTTCTTATTTAATTCACTTTCTGCTCACCTTAGCCCCATCAGCAGTAAATTTCTGAATTGTTACAGGACCTGACTGAAGCAAGTCAATATTGAATATGCAGGCACTCAAAGGGATTCCTCTTCGGATATCAATTTATACTTGTCCTCCTAGACTGATAAATGCAATTTATTATGAGCGGAGAGGAAAGGATATCACAGTTTCAAAGTTGACATTTTTTTTAAATCATTTCACCAGAAACAGTGTAAAAAGAAAACACTAACTCGCTTTTGGTTGGTTAATTGTTTTGTTTTATGGCATGTCAACCTCAGTGGGTCATTTAATGCCAAATTTTTTTTTAAATAGATTCATAGCGATAGTTTGGGAAAAAGGTGTGTATGTATACATATATATTTGAACCATTTTTCAATTCCTCATATTTTTTAGTACAATCCAACTTCTTAAGAATGTTTAGCTGTTTGTATTACTGGTATTTTTAAGTATTGCTGATGATAATTTTCCTTCAAAAATTATTGCTAGTAATAATATTTTTATTTAAAAGTATTTCTGGTATTAAAACCTATTTTTATACAAGTTTGGGTGTTAACTATTTGTCCATAGCTGGGACCCTAACAATGGGTACCACCCCGGGTCAAGGTGGACCTGGGAACACCGGCAATTAACAGGTGGTTCCAAACTCCTCAAAACTTGATCAGAGGCATTGCTTTTGGACGTAGTTTATCGTCTTACCAAGGACGTGGATGTAGTTTATCGTCTTACCAAGGACGTGGATGTAGTTTATCGTCATACTCAGGACGTGGATGTAGTTTATCGTCATACCCAGTCGAAAGGGATTACTGAGGGTTACATGAAAACTGATGTCCCAGCAGTAAACATTTGTCGATGAATATATCTACATTGGATGAATCTGATGGCTAGGCTCGAGGCCAGAGACTTCTTGAAAACAGTTAATAAAAACGACATTGTAAACAATAGGAATAATGGCGCGTAATGCTTTTGGCTAATACTGTTGGCAATAAAATTGCACATCTCTTCAAAGTTGATGACGGCGTCAATACAGGGAATGATTCTACGTGCTTTTGCATTTTTGAATGGTACAGATAACATCCAAAAAAAGCGTATAGATCATAAAGTTAGATATTGTATATGTCTATAAATAAAAGAGATTTATTTCTCTTTGATTCCAAATGATCTGTTTTTGTTACCCAAAAGATTAGAAGCATTATTATGTGTTAGAATAATTATATGAGAACATAAAAGAGATTAGCAACTAATCCGTGACAAAGGTCAGTGTTCAAGCACAGATAAATGTCAGAATATTGAATACACACAAACTCGCTATACTTGAAATAATGGCGTACGTACCTCGTGTCCTTTTCCCTTTTTAACTTTTTTGCCATACTAAACAAAACCGAATAAATACTTTTCAAATAGTTAAAGCTTAACTAATATTAGATTGGATATTCGAGTAATGTAACCGTTAGGGACTCATGAAGAGAAGTCAGCGGGTCTTTTCGTTTCGGTCACTTTCACTTTAGGGAAACTATGAATTTATCATTTTTCCCAATCTAGCAACGAGTTAAATAGTAAGAATAACTGGGATCTCTTTCCTTGGAATGGCAATTAGCCTCAAAGAAAAGCTATAATTTAAAACCAGCCTGGAAAAGGGTGGACTCTTCCAGGGTATATTGCTCGAAACATAAAATTGCTGTTATGACTGAAGTACAAGTGATGCTACTATGTGTCTAATTAGTTACAGGACTCGTAACGTAAGGAATAGTAGATTACCCCCCTATACAGTTATTACTGCAGTACAAGTGATGCTCCTGTGTCCCTAATTGCTTACAGGACTCATAAGGTAAGGAATAGTACATTAGCAATCTCTACTGCTATGACTGCAGTACAAGTGATTCTTCTGTGTCTCTAATTGGTTACAGGACTCGTAACCTAAGATATTTCAGAGTTTTGTTTTTTCACTCCAAATTTTACCGACATTTTTCTGATGGGTTACAGGACTTGTAACGTAGTCAATAGTAGATTATCCCACCTCTACTGTTCTGGCTGCAGTACAAGTGATGCTTCTCTGTCTCTAATTTTTTATAGGACTCGCAACGTAATGAATAGTAGATTACCCCCTGTACGTATCTTTTTATTTTCGACAAATAAGCATCATCATGTTCACAATATGTTCCAATGTATTCCACATTCTCAAATATGAATATATTTTTTTTATTTATCCCGGCGCAGAAATAAGATTACGCAACTGTGAAGAAAATAAAATGGTAGTCGCAGCTGACGTTGGCAGAAAAGAAAAAATGAGAATTTTCTTTAGGATATACCCCAACATGAATGCTGATTTCATTTTTTTTTTTGTCTTCTTTTCTTTCTTTTTTTTTTTTTTTTTGATA